GGATGAGGACTAACTATTCTTGGGGGGCGGTGAGGGAAGAGGGCGGGTTGGGAACTGTGTGGAGGGGAGCTGGGGGCGGGGGGGGGAGAAAAAACTGTAATAATCTGAACAATAAATATTTATTCAAAAAAATGATATAATTAAGTAGCATTCAATTTTGTTTTATACTAACTGGAGTCCAGAGAAGGGGAGGTAAATTATAATTCAACTCAAAACATCTAACAGGGCTGGCATTTCATAAACTTAAACAGCAGCGACAAGCAGGCACACAGGCTCTCAGGTCCTGTTGAAATAGTTACAATAAGTGACTGGGGCGGCTACAACTGTCTCCCACCGATTTGCTTAAATAGAAAGGCAGGTGGAAGCTCAAAGTAAGTACACCAGATAAGAATTTTCAGAGTTACAATTTCTCTCCCAAACAAAACAAAAACTCTCCCTGTCAGGATAGTCCATCACCTTCAGAAATGAAACAAATTATTAAACATAACAGGAAACAGTGTCAGAGGAGTCAGAATGCTGATGCAATGAGAACAACTAAACTAAATAAAGCAACAAGGAAAAGTAAACACCACCCCTATTTCCAACAGGTCTGAGTGGCAACAAGAACCTCAGAAAATCTGGTCCAAGAGTGACAGAATGCAACGTGGAAACAGTCAATCGGTGCTGCTAAACACCTTGGCCACTGTTTCGAGTTTAACTGTTCTGAAGCACATAAATGACTGTGGTACGAATACAAGACAGTGTAAATAACAAAACCTTTTAAAGATTATCTCTGAACAGCGGACTTATTGATGATGGGATGTTGCCCCGATCACTTTCCCACGAGGTGGAAGTGATGACCCAGCACGCCCGGCCTGCAGGGTGTCTGCGGGTCTCTGACCATAGTCCCACCTCAGGTGACCCTGCGGGATCTGTGTACACTGCTCAGCGAGGCAGCGGCCCCCCAGGAAGAGCTCATACCTTCAGGAACGCTTCCTTTTGTTCAAGGTGCTTGCTGATCATCGGGGTGACGTGATCCGTCTCGGAATTGGGGCCCAGTTTGTCAGCTCCTCCACACCAGTCCTCTTCTCTCTTGTACTCCTGCTCCAGGCTCTCGAGGACACTGCAGACCTGTGGGCAGGAGACAGTTCCAGCTCAGAGGGACCCCAGCACCCGAGGGCACGGGCTGGCATCTGTGGGGAGCATTTTCAAAGCGTCCCAAGGATCAGACCACTGGAAGGAACCTCGGCTCCATCTAACATGAGGATTGCCCACGCAGGCCTTTCCGAACAGGGACCAAACAAAAGCTGGGTTTCCTGTCTCCCTCAGACATGTTTCAGGTCATATACTAAGTGATCGGAAAAGGGGTGCTTCTTAGCCACTTCCCAGCCAATTACGCTTGGATGCCTACGGTGAGCACAAGTGGTGTCACGTCAAAGAATGCTTCTCTTCTCTGCTGGGCTTGGAATGAGCTGGCTCAATGATGACTGACAAGTTAATGATTGAGTTGTCCAATCCAATCGAGCTCAAAATAACATGCCAGTCGGGAGGAGCTGAGGGACTGGGCCCCCTCCCTACCTGCTCCGAGGTTTTGTAGAAGGCGACGGACGCGTTCACGAGCTTCAGGCGGTCTTCCATCTTGAGCATGAGCTGCTGCCAGTGCGAGGCCACCTTCTCGGCGCAGTCCCGGATCATGTCCATGTCGTAGTGGTTGGCCTGCAGCATGGCCTCTGCCTTCTGCTGCACCTGCAGCGCGCTCTGGTGCGTTTTCTAAGGGGAGGAAAGGGAGGGTGCACTCAACAGGGGCGCCATGCACTTACTGGAAAGGCACTGGCCACGCCACGGCCTTCCGTGCCCCTTGTTTTTATAGAAACCGCCTCAGCTAATGCTCATTAGGACACTTCTAAAAACAGCAGATAGTTTAGTTAAAAACATGTTTTCATGCCTAGCAACGCCTGCTTCTATTTAAATGAGCTAATGAAGGGTGAAATGCATTAAGACTTCCCAGGCCTCCGTGATGGGGTCTCGGCCTGAGAAGGAGCAGGAGAAACCTTTAACAGCCAACATTCTAGAAAAGCTGCTGAAATAGTCCAAGTGTATTATTCCTATTGATCCTTCTTATAATAGCAGCTTCAGGCGAAGGAACAAGTGGGGAAAAGGTGGCCACAGTGAAGGCTTTTTATTTTCATTTTCAACTTTAACTTTGGACGAGAGTAAAATGTTCTCAAGAACTATTGATTTACAAAAAAAAAAGAAAGAAAAGAACAGCTAAGGCTAGACCAACGGTTTCCCTGGAGGTCCACGCTATGATGAATCTATGAACATAACACAATGATCCAGGAGACCTCCTGCTCTGTGTCCTCCCTGGAAGGTTCGGGGGGGTGGGGTGGGGGTACGAGGCCAGGTCCCTCAGTGAAGAAATGACTTCTGGGTAGGGGAGTGCGTGGGTCTCCGTGGACTCAGATGGCTTTCTCTTTTTTCATTTATTAACAAATAGTCCCAACACCACACAGTGATGCGCACTGACAATGTAATTACTGGGAATCACTAGCACAGTGTACAATTTTCAAAAGGTGCCCGGAGTCTGGGCTTCCAGAGTGTTAATGTGTGTCCACTGGCACTGAGTAGTTGAAAATAAACCAGTCTAAGGCACAGATTAATGCGATCTCTGTGGCTCCCTTCTCTGGCTGACAATACGTATGTAAAGAGAGCAGAAAACAAGTTCTGTGTAATCAAATGCTCTTTCACCTTGGGCTTTGCCTTGAGACCACCTGTCATAATTGTAACTGCTCCTCAAACCTAAAAGTAATCATCGACCTCTTGTGAGGGTGAACTTGGGCACCTGAAGCGGCCCGAGCCGTTCTGCTAACGTGCTGGGTGGCACTGACACTCAAGACTGGAGACAATGGGTGAGTAACGCCCTTCCCCAGGGCGCAGGGTTTGTGGACAGCACTGGGTCACCCACCGGCAACAGTGAAGCGTGATTTCTGCCTGGTCTTGGTGAGCCGCCCAGAGAGCTTTATTTGCTGAGGCTGCATATA